ATAGTTTTTTGTTGATTTTGATTTTCACTTTCTTATAGTTATTCATTTTCCTGGTCCCTTATTTAAGTTTTCTAGATTCCTGCTATGAGTGAGACCATCCGGTATTTTTCTTTTTCTTTCTGGCTTATTTCGCTGAGCATGATCCCTTCCAGCGCCATCCATGTTGCTGCAAATTGCATGTGTTTATCTTTTTTGAATGCTGAGTAATATTCCATGGTATATATGTAACACATCTTCTTGATCCAGTCATCTATTTTTGGGCATTTGGGCTGTTTCCAAAGCTTAGCTATTGTAAACAGTGCTGCTATAAACATAGGGGTGCAGGTGTTCTTTGGAATTGATGTTTCTGTGTCCTTTGGGTAAATACCTAGGAGTGGAATTGCTGGATCATATGGAAGCTCTATGTTTAGTAGGTCCAGAAATCTCCACACAGCTCTCCACAGTGGTTGGACCAGTTTGCACTCCCACCAACAGTGCAGAAGAGTTCCTTTTTCTCCACACCCTCGCCAACATTTGTTGTTGCTAGTTTTTTTAATATGTGCCATTCTCACTGGTGTAAGATGGTATCTCATGGTAGTTTTGATTTGCATTTCCCTGATGACAAGTGATGTTGAACATTTTTTCATATGCCTGTTGGCCATTTGCATTTCCTCTTCAGAGAAGTTTCTTTTTAGCTCTTCTGCCCATTTTTTGACTGGATTATTTTCTTTGTTGTTGTTGAGTCTCATCAGCTCTTTGCAGATTTTTGTGATCAGCCCTTTATCATTAGTGTTGGGTGCAAAAATGTTCTCCCAGTTGGTGGGGTTTCTCTTTGTTTTTGTTATTGTCTCTTTTGCTGTGCAGAAGCTCTTTAATTTGATGTAGTCCCAGCTGTTTATCTTTGCCTTCACTATCACTGCTTTGGGTGATGTGTCTGTAAAGATGTCTTTGATGTGCAAATCACGTAGTGTTTCGCCTATATTCCCTTCTATGTATTTTATGGTTTCAGGTCTTATGTCTAGTTCTTTAATCCATTTTGAGTTGATTTTTGTGTATGGTGTGAGGTAGTGGTCAAGCTTCATTCTTTTGCATGTAGCGACCCAGTTTTCCCAGCACCATTTATTGAACAAACTTTCTTTGCTCCAATGCATAGTCTTTGCTCCTTTGTCAAAGATTAGTTGACCATAAATATGTGGGTTTATTTCTGGATTTTCTATTCGATTCCATTGGTCTGTATGTCTGTTCTTGTTCCAATACCATGCAGTTTTGATGATTATGGCTTTGTAGTATAGTTTGAAGTCTGGGAGTGTGATGCCTCCATTTCCTTCTTTTTTTTTTTCAGTAGAGCTTTGGCTATTCGGGGTTTTTGGTGATTCCATATGAATTTCATCAGTAATTGTTCTATTTCTTTGAAGAATGACATTGAAATTTTGATTGGAATAGCAATTGAATCGGTATATTGCTTTTGGTAGGATGGCCATTTTAATAATGTTTATTCTTCCAATCCATGAGCAGGGGATGTCTTTCCATTTCTTTGTGTCTTCTTCTATTTCCTTTAACAGTGTTTTATAATTTTCTTTGTATAGGTCCTTTACCTCTTTTGTTAGATTTATTCCCAAATATTTGATTATTTTTTGTTTCAATAATAAAAGGGATGGTTTTTTTTTTATTTCTTCTCCATGAAGAAGACTTTTAAAAACAGCTGCTGGACCTGATAAATTTCTTGGTATTGGTGACTGTGTGTATTTTTCTCCTTGTCTTATTGGCATCTTCATAGCCTCCCCAGGATGGCCTCATCTCCTCTTGCCCGCTTGGTGGCACGATGCCCATGGCAACTTATAGCCACAGAGCACCCGCTGATGGAGGAGAGAGCATAAAAAGAGCTAGGCTGTTTTGGCTTGCCCTGTAATTTGTCTAAATTTTTAAAATCCATTTTACTCAAAATTGACTAATTATTTTAGTGCCATGTAGCCACAACTTTGCAATTTACAGAGTGTGGTTCTCTTATGCTTCTAAATAAAAATCTGTGAAAACTTGGGGGAGTGCCCTGAAAGCTAATTCTTTGCTCCATGGAGATTCTGATGTAGATGCAAGCAGTTTCTGAAGTGAGGGTGAGGGCTGCCAGCTTGCCTGTGTGGTCTGGGGCACCCATTCACAGGACACTGGCTTCTCAATCAGGAAAACTCAGCAGTCTATGACAGCTGCCCACCTACCTCAGGACATCATAAAACAGACCAGTCAAGAAGCATAGCCATCAGAATCCTGGGCTGGGGGGCAGACCCCTTATTCTTGGACGAGAAGCAACTGATGCAAAGCAGGATTTTGTTTATAGCAAAGTACTGCTATCCAAACACAGCTTTTAATACAGAGCTCTGGAAGGGGCAGCCACTGATTGGGTGGGTCTGGGATTTGGCAATCCCAACCTTGTCCTTTGCAAAACAGAAATAACAATAAATATAGTAACTTAATCTATCTCCAGAGTTGGTATGAGTATCTAGCCAGCTCAGGTATGTAAAACTCTTTGTAAACCAAAATAAACTAAATGAAACCCCACAGAAAACAAAACACATACCATAGAGTTGCTGCCATGTGGGAGAACATACATCTCAGTGTCTTAACCATAAGGGCAAGCTTGTGAGCTGAGGTCTGAGCTGACAAACAGAAGAAGGGCTGACTCTTTGGGTACAGTCTGCCCTGAGGTTGCCCTGCTCAGTCCCTCCCTTAGCCTAGACCTTGCCAGACCGGTGCAGAAGGCCCTTGCAAGTACCGCTCAGTGGACCCAATCTCTGCCTTGCACTCACTCAAGTGGCCTGGCTGCAAAGTGAGGTGCTGAAGGCCGTGGAACAGACTTGCTTATCGGCAGGGAAACACTGAAGGAAAACATTCAGATGCCACCTTCAGTAACACACACCCCTCATTCAGGTCTAAGATCCTGTGTGCTCATGGGCTGGCCCTGTGTCTCAAGGATGATTGTTTTAGGAAAAATATAAATTGTGTAGGCACTGTCTGCTGGGGGGATGCTGGGCAGTCTCAGATTCCTGGGGAAGAAAACTTCCCAGCAACTGTGACTCACCCTGGGCAGTATGAAGAATGACAGTGGGGGCTTCCCTGGTGGTGCAAGAAGTTAAGACGCAGCACTGTGAAGCTATCCGCAGCCACTGCAGCATGAGTTTGATCCCTCGCCAGGGAGGTGACCCACATCACACAGCAGACCTCTCTTGACTCACCCGCTGCTCCCCTCAGCAGTGTATTGGTCAGTCTACCTGTTCTGCTCCCCACTCTGTCTCTGGTGAATCCTCTCACCCACACCGCCCCCCACACACACACCTCTGACCTGTGCCCCAGTTCTTGTATGCATAAATAAATAAATCTTTGAAAAAAAATGACAATGACCACCCTCAGGCAGGAAGAAGCTGATCCTCTCTGAGAAGGGATGCCCAGAACCCCTGACCTGGAGGGATGTGTGTATGTATATGTGTGTATATGTGTGTGCATATATGTTTATGTGTGTATTTGTGCATGTGCATGTATATGTGTACTAGAATACATGTTTGTGTGTGTGTCTGTGTGTGTGTGCACAGGGTGGACAGGGCTCTCTGCAGACAGTGCACCCCATCACGAGGCCTCCAGAGAAGGTCTTAGTGATTTGAGTGAGCCCATCATGATTTTCCAGGTTTCTCTCAGACAAAATCAGTCCTCATGGGAAGCTTCTATCTTTTCACTGCAACACTGCAGCTGGCAGTTTTACGTGTATTTAATTAACCAAAATAGAAAAGGACACCCGTTGTCACAAGTGGGCTTCATCTGGGTCTTTGTGAGGAATGTCAGGAGAAGCACACGGGTGCTGCTGGTCCTGCCTCAGTGACATGGCACGGCTGGCATCCCAGGGGAATTACTCTCACAGGTGTCCAGCCTCAAGTAGCTGCCTTCTTCTGAAGCCCCCTGAGGGAGTGGCCAGAGTGCACTGCTGTGACCCAGGTGTCTCCAGCGACACGGGAGTCAGGTGTTTAACAGCCTCTAGCAAAGGAAATTAGAAGCTAATGACCCTCTTTCAGGAAAAAAAAAAAAATTTCCATTTCTTTTTTAGGAAAAAAAAAATAGAATAAAATACCTTTCCATCTTTGTATAAAATAAGCACACAGATTTAATAGCCCTGGGTTTTGGATGAGTCAGCCTAAGTGTGCCCTGTTATAGTGAGAGAAAATTCACGATGCAGGGCCCAGCACATGGAGTCCAGCACATGCGGGGCCCAGCACATGGTCAGGAACAAAGCAGCCCTGCACTCAGGCCTGGCTCACTGGAACTGGTGGGCACAGGGCTAGCATCCCCAACGCTGCATACCCCTGCCAGGAGGATGGCTCAGGACTTCCCATTGGTTGGGGAGTTTGGACATCATCCAAGCTGCTTTTTAACAATCCCTGTACCAGGTACCCGATCTCCTGCATTAGACTCCCAAGAAACTTTTCTCCAGGCCTCTGCTGAGTCCAACAGCCCATCCAGGGACCCGGTCACAAAAGAGCTTTCTCAGAAAGCAGCCATCAGCTCCTTGGGAAGAAGCCATGACACCAGGGTCGAGACCAGGCCCCAGTCCTGCCGTGCTCAGATCAGCATCTAAGGACAGTGCCCCCTCCCCCTACAACAGCCATATTTTGTCCTAAAAACCAGTTTGAGGTCTCTTGCACACAGTGTGCGAGGATTGCACACTGCTCTGTGCCTGCAGAGAGCTCCAGGCCCCTTCATCATGGATTCAAACTGCACCCAGGCCTCTATCCCAAAGCCCTGTGAAATTATGGTCCCTGTAGGATTTTATTTCCTGTGGAATGATGCAAAAGCCCTGCACTTGGGATGTGTCTGTCCTTGTTCTAAGAGTGTCCTCAGTGGAGACCTCTCTTGAAGGGGGCATCCGCTGGCAGGCAACAGCAGCAACCTTCCGGGAGGACTTGCTCCAAACCTGGCTCCCCTCCCACATCTGGGCCATCATGGGTGCGTCCTGTATTAATGCTCTCTTTTCCTTTCCCCAGAGCGATTACTCCAGCGACACAGAGAGCGAGGACAACTTCCTCATGATGCCCCCACGGGACCACCTGGGCCTCAGTGTCTTCTCCATGCTCTGCTGCTTCTGGCCTCTGGGCATCGCGGCCTTCTACTTGTCCCATGAGGTAAGGCCTCTCATCACACCCAGGCCGAGGAGGAAGAGAGCCCTCCGGGCCTTTCAGCTCGTGTTCCCCGAAGGGTCTGCACTTTATGGTGGTAGAAAAGGACTTAGAGGATCACAGTGCCCCCCAGGAGCTCAAGGCTGCCTCACCTCCACCTGGTGGGACTGCCCTGGAGCCCCCAGGACAAGGTGGATAGCCTTCTCTTCAGGAAGAGGGCTGCCTGGTGGAAACAGGCATTCCCTTGGGGAAAAGGCAGATAACTTGGGGAACCCAGTTGGATTGACATGATGCTCGGAGCCACCAGCAAGGATATGGAACATTCTAAGAATGGAGGCAGAGGTGAGGAGGTGTTTCTTTGCAAAAGACCCATTCATATGAAACAGATTCTAATTACACAGCAGCCTGTACATACTACACTCAGCCCAGACTAGAGGAAGTGGCACATCCCAGTGGTGCCTTCCTTCCCCAGGGTAGGGGGTCTAAGGGTGGTGGTTTCTAGGCCTTTTTCATTGCAAAGCACACTCCTATTGTGCCTTCATGCAACCTGGGCTTTGAAAGATTTTCTCTAACAAAGAGTATTCATTCAGAAGTAGTCTATGTCCCATTTTTATTAATCAAAGAAAGACATTTATATTCACCAATTAAAGCGTGAGGCTTTGGTATGCCCACACCTCCCACCATTACCCAAGTAAATTTGAGTGGCAGCAGGCCCATGGGCCCAGGTGAGCCTGGCAGTGGCATCTGGTCGTTCTCTGGGCACAGTGACGATATCTTACTACCTGGGGTTCTGAGTCCTGGCTGCAAATAGCAGACTCTGGGAGGTCTTTGTTTCAAGCATTTCTTTCTCTTAGCTTGAAAACAGATACCCTTGCCAAGTCCACCAGTGGCCTGTCACTGCTCCCTGCCAGCTTCTGTATTGATTCAATTTGTCTGGAGAGTAGACAGTCACTTTATGCGCTTTCTTTTCCCTGCCCCACAGCCCCCTACCCCTTGCCTGGCACCAGGGAAGGGAGAGTGGTGCGATCCTGAAGGCCAGTACTTCTTAGCAGGACAGGCCCAGAGGCCCATCCAGGCAAGGGCAGGGGCATAGTGATGAGAGAGGCCTCCTCCCCTATGCACTGTGGTCCGGATTCTGGAACGTAGTGGATGGGGAGGTGTAGTGGGAAACTGTACTGCAGGGTTGGCAAAGGGTTGTTCCATGTCCAGATTGAGCCTTTTCTGTGATTTGCCTCACAAACAAGCACCAGGTAGAAAGCAGGACCCTCAGATCTGGCAGGGCCAGGGTAGAGCCAGGCCGGGGGGAACCCATACCCCAAGGAGAGGCTCTGAGCTGGGTGCACTGAGGATCGGGGTTGGGGACACAGAGCAGGATGTGGAGAGAAGTGGGTGGACAGATGCTCTCAGCATGTGGGACATGCTCTGAAGAAGCTCTCCTGAGCCTGCCCCTCTGTAAACCAGTCATGCTGTAAATGAGCAAGAGCAGTTTCCCTGGGAAGGTGAAGGTCAGGAGCACAGAGACCTGGCTTCTCACACATTTTGGGCAACTCAGGCTTTTCCCATGAGTCAAATGGATGCTCCTAACCCTCTCCCCTGTCTCAGCCCTGCCCCTTCTCAGGGAGAAGGAGGACGGGTCACTCCCCGTGTCCAGGGACCGGCCTGCTGAGAAAAGCCTTTACCCCCTCTGCACCCCACTGGAAGGGGGTGGGTCTGCCACATTAGACCTATGTTTTGATTGTTCGATTTTATGTTGGGATTGATATTTTATCTTGGCTGAGTTCCACCGGGACAGGTGTGACCTGTTCCAAGAGAAGAGATTAGACACAGGATAAAGGTTGTAGAGCGCTGCCAGAGGATGGGCTGGTGGGAGTGAGCCCTGGATAATTTGGGAGGTGCCCAGGGCCAGGAGACGCTGGCCTTGCCTTGGCTGTTCCCCACATCCTGAAGTGAAGGCTCTGTTTCTGGCAAAGGGCAAGCTGCTCACAGCATCTACCTGAAAGAATGTAATTACAATAAAAATCAAGGCCATGATTGCAGAGACTGGCATTTAGATTCTCTTTCTCAGAAAGTAATTCTATTCTTCCCACCTTAAGAACCTCTTTGACTCGGGTCTGATAACTCGTGACATGAACACCCTGGTGGTAAAGAGGATTCTGATTATTTATTCAACAGCAAGTGTGAAGTGCAGTTTCTGTGGAGACCTCTGGTCACATTTCTGGAGGGTCTAGAGCAAACTTTTTTGAGGAGTGTAGGGGTTGACTTCACTGGTGGGAAAGGAGGGGGCCTCTGGGATCCCTGGTGCTGAGTCCATTGTCACTGTGCTGTGAGCAGGATTTCCTTCAGTGGAGCCATAGCAGACAAGAGATACCTACATTTGTAAAGAAATCTCTGGAGGCATGTGACCTTCACAAGACCTGTACCCATCCTCCACATGGGATCTTCCAGCTGAGACTCGTGCCCATAGCTCCGGCCACTCAGGGCTTTGAGGCAGACCCTGGAGGTGACTAGCCCCTGCACACAGCCTTCAGCCCAGCCACAAAGCTGCCTGGCCTCTGCATGTGCCTCTACAGCCCAACTGAAGAAACAAACTCTGCAAGGGCTTTGGGGGGAGCAGGCAGCCTCTGGGTGGGGTGTGCTTTGTGCAGAACAGACACACTCTGGCGCCATCACACCAAATTAAATCAGTGCCTTCCTGGGCAAGGCCAGCTGGGAGCCCTACACTAGCCCTGACTGGAGGAAGCTGGTCTGGCTCTGCATGCCCTTGTGGTTGTCTCCAGCAACTGCTGCCTGGAGGTGCTCGGGTCTGGGACTGTGACATGAGAGTAGAGTAAACAGCGTATCCATTAAGCTGAGACCACCCCAGTTCCAAATGCTGCCTACGAGGGAATCTCTGACATAGAAGTGTGACCCGGGGGCTTTTCCCTCTTATCACAAATCAGATCTCCGCATACTCGTTTAGATGGTGTCTGCATATTGTCAAAATAACCACTCAGTGAGGTCAAGGGAACATGCCAGGCCATTCCGGGAAAACAAAACAAAACAAATCTGTGGTTGGATTACATGGGCAGCAGTGGGGAAAATTAGCAAGATCCCTGGACTTACCAAACAGGTTTTATACACTCTTCCTTCTTTCCTACTCCATCTGGGCAATGCAGCAGGCACCTTCTCCATGCCTCAGTTTTCCAATATACATGATGGTGTTAAAATAACTTGAGCACAGAAATGAGCAGATTAGGTAGTGGAGTCAGCATGAAAATCCCCAGAAGTCTCAGCAGATAGTGGTCTATGGCACCTCCCATTGTCAGAGCACCTACAGGGCCCAGGTACAGGACCCCTGGAGAAACACAAGGGATCTCTTCCCCAACAGATTCCATCATTCAAAAAAGACGCTAATGAGCTAGCAGTAACTGTAGTAATGAAAGTGTCAGTGAAGTGGATAATGTGCACTGAGCACCCACAGGGGACCAGTCTGGCTAAACATCACCTACCTGTCTTCTCAGGGCGTGGTCCTGGCCAGCAGCCTGGTCACCAAGTGATGCTAGAATGCACGGGGTCTGGACCCCCCAGAGTCCTGCCCAGTCCAAGCCTCTAGGAACCTGCAGTTGATTGGACAAGCCCTCCCATAGGTTTTGAGTGGTGTGTTGCCCACCCATGGTCTCATAGGAGGTCTGTCGTGACACTTTGTGGGCCACGGAACTGGGTTTCAGTGAGGTTGGTGGTGTCCTAAGACCGGGCTCAGCTAGCAGAGGGTGGGAAGCCTCACAGCTGACTCAGCAATATCTGGGGACAGCAGCCAGTTGGGCCCTGCGGGGAAGACTCATTATGGACCCTGGGGAGACGAGTCCATTTTCCTCTAGCAATGTTCATAGTTTGACCCAGCTCCTAAGACAAGCACACTCTGTAACCCAATTTATAGAGAGGAAACTCGTGTGCCATTTTAGTGGGTCCCTCTAGAAACTGATGCTTCTGAATGATGCTGAAGATAAAAATGAATCCATAAATTTGCTGAGTGACTATGGTGAGCAGGTTAACAAGCAGACTTTCTTTTATTTAATTTTTGTGGTGCGTCTGAAAGGTAGAAAATTGTTATCCCCATTATATGGACAAGGAAATGAAGTGTCAATGGAGAAAGTAGCATAGAAATTTAAAAAGTTGTAAATGTGGATACATGAGTTAATAGCAATGTTCCTCACCCTTAAAATCATATTTCCTACAATATAACGTTGACTTTCATCTATGTGCAACAAAAATAGGAGCACAAACTTGCTTCTGAATCCACTGTCCTCAGCCTCTCAGGCTGTCTTACAGTGAAGGAAGAGGAGCCAGTTACAGGCAGGATGTAGGACTTGCCCTCAGCACCTCAGGACATCCCATGTGGCAGGTGTGGGCTGGAGAGGGAGGCTGGAGCCCCTCCCCTGGCAGCCTTGGTCTGGACTGACAGCCCCAGGCAGACTGAAGGTACACTCTTTGCTCCTGCAAAAGAAGTCTTCTGCATCTGAGCATTTATTATGTCTTGATTTCATTTGATCTGATAAAATGTTTCATTCTTTTACTAATTGTAACATTATAACAATAATTAAATGAGAAAAGGGTATTAAGAATCAGATTATGAATATTATGAATAGGACCAGCAAAGGGAATTGGACAAATTAGAGAGAAAAAAGGGATTGTCTTTATGACACTGAAAATCTAGAAAAACAAGATTCTAACATGGCCAGTGAAAGTGTCCTTGAAAACCATTCATTCATCTGCTATTTATTGAACACCTACTGTGCACTAGACCCTGCTTTCAGTGCAGGAATAGAACATAAACAAAACAGACACAAACCCACCTTCCCCTAGTGAATATTCTAGCAACAAGAAGCAGGTAACAAACAAAAGTAAACTTATAAAGAGCCCAATAGTGATAAGTATAAAGGAGAAAAATTAAGTTGGCCATGGACATGGGACATCCAGTATTAAATAGGATGAACATGGAAGGGCTTGTTCAGGGGATAACATTTCCT